TAGTAAACTGGCTCAGTTTCTCAGCAAGGAGTCAGGTTCACACTGAGTGTTTTACTTTGAGGACTGGCAAGCTCAGTGAACTGCTGCGTAGAGTTTTCAGAACAATGGGGAGAGGCCGGGAGGGTATACAGACTCCTCTGAAAAATTCACTGAAAAACATGTCAAACATATTATTTTAAAAGGAAGCTAACATCTAATTAAAAATAAAATTCAGTGTTTTTAAATACTGTGGATCTCTGTGAGGATTTGCATGATGTATTAATGGACTAGGGTGAATAAAAGCCGGGCGCAGAGCAGGGCCGCAGTACGCTGCTCTGCAGCAGTGGGCGGTGGGGACCATGCGGCGTGGCCGCGTGGCTCCTCCTGAGGCAGCTCTGTGGGGCCGCACAGGGCTAACAGCAGTGTTACTGAGCGGGAGGCAACGGGTGCCTGGGAAACAGGAAGGGAGAATTCCCAACTTACACACTTTTAACCATGAGAATTCCCCCAGTTTTTCTCTCAACATCCTTTCCCCATGATCCCACTTCTACCACTGCACTTTTTTTTAAAAAGAATTGTTTCCAATAATTACTGATAATACTCTAAATAAAATTCATTTTCATGTGTCATATACATTTTTTCTTCACTCCGTTTTTGTCTTTTACTCTTCTAATGGTGTCTTTTTAGGTCTTAAATTTAACAACGTCCAATTTGTCAATCTATCAGCCTTTCCCTTTGGTACTTTTTGTATCCTCAAAAGATTATTTTCCTGCCCCACAGTCACAATACCCTGCTGTTATTTTCTAGAGTTGTTACTTTCACATTTAGGTCAACAATACACCTTAAATTAATTTTTTTTGTCTGAGGTAGTGGTCAAGGCTCACCCCCTGCCCACAATCAACATTCTGTTGCTCTGGTGCTACTTATTAAAAGGACCTTTCCTATTACATTACAGCGGCTCCTTTGTGGTGAGGGTGGCAGTGATGTGACTACATATCTGTGGGTCTGTTTCTAGCCTCTCTTTTCCATTGTTTTTTTTTTTTTTAAAGCCCAAAATGGAGTCACTTTGACTAAGTCAGCCAAGATTTAACACCTAACCTAATGCAGCTACAATCTTCCCAAGGAATGTCTCTTATCTAGTAAGTGTGGCACTTCCTGGTTAGCACCAATGAAGTAATCCTTTCCAACCCACCAAAAAGAGGAGGTGATCTGCCTTATAGACCCCTTTCCCACACCATAGCTAGACAGAAAAAACCTTTTGTTTTTATTGTTGTTTATGACTTCCTTGTCTTGCCTTTAAAAACCTTTCCCTTTTGAACTTATGGTCAAGATGGTGACGTTCGTTAAACATGGTACTCGCCTCCTTCCACAACCACATCAAAATTACAACTAAACTGAAGAATAACCATTATTCAGAACCACCTGAGATATGGCTGAATGGAAGTCCTACAACCTGGGAATTAAAGAAGAAACCACATTAAGACTGGTAGGTGGGGTGGAGACATTAAATGGGTTGGTCCCACATCCATGTGCGGTGGATAAAAATTGGGAGAGCTATCTCAGCTGCTGAGGATCCCCCCTGAGGAATGAAGGGCCCCAGTCCAGGGTTCCAATGCCAGGAAGAGATGTCCCCATAACTCTGGCTGTAAAAACCAGTGGGGATAGTGGCTGAGGGAGATGGAAGGCTTCTTTAGTCCCAGGCAGTTCCTCTTGAAGGGCTTGTATGTGGACTTACTCAGACCCACTCCCTCTGAGCTCCAGCACTGGAGCAGCAACTTGAAAGGCACAAGAGACATGTGGGGAGGAACTGAATTGTCAGCATCAGGGTGAGAGCTGGGGGGCAGCTTTCTCCTATACAGAAGTGCTGACTGAGGCCACTGCTCCTTTGATGAGCAGGTGGTGCCATATTTGAGACTGCATCATCTTGGCTCACATTATTTGCCCTGCCCTGGTGATTCCCTGAAACTCCACCCCACTCAGCTTGGGGGCCCACCTGAGCTGTTTCAATTAGCTTTTCCATATGAATGGCCTGTCTTGGTTCTAACTTCACACTTTCTTAAAATTCCTCAAACAAGCAGTATCTGGCATCTGTGTGCCCCGTATCTTTGGCTAAGTGGCCCCAGGCTCAACACTAGCAGTAGGTCACATTGGTTTGCCGCTTGGCCTCCCCTGAGCACCTCCAAGCCCAGCACCAGTAGCAGCCGCCTGCAGACCACTTTGTAGCCCATGCTGGTTGGTCCTGGGCAGAACACAGGTGGTGGCTGACCTTGGTCTGCACCTCCTGGGTGCCCAAGAGCCAATGCACCCAGCAGGCAGCATCAAACCACATTGAAGAACCAACACCCAACCACTTCCATAGGAACACACTCAAGGGGTGCACTAAGCAGGCACCAGGGCCCTGCTGAAGTAAGTCCCACTCTATGGAGTGGGCTCATGCACAGCTATTTCTCCACAGTGGTCAGTGGTCACAGCAAGTCCTTGCAGCTGATAGCCCTGTGGGTAAATCCCTCCCATTGACATTCCAACAGCAATCAAGGCTCAAATACAAGAGGTGGGTGTACACAGCCCACAGTGGGGGTGCACCTCGAGTGTCCAGTTTGGGTGATGAGGGAGGTTGTGCCACTAGACCCCTTCTACATTAGTAATAGGACACCTACTACATTGGGCCACTCTACCAAGACAGGGAGTCATAGCAGCTCTACCTAATACATAGGAACAGAGGGAGGCTGCCAAAATGAGGAGACAAAGAAAGACATCCCAAATGAAAGAACAAAACAAAACTCCAGAAAGCGAACAAAACAAAATGGAGAGAAGAAATCTACTAAATGTAGAATTCAAAGCACAGGTTATAAGGATGCTCGATGACGTTAGAAAGAACTTGAACAGCATAAAAAAGGACCAGTCATAAATGAAGGAGCACTAACTGAAATGAATAATTTACAGGGAATCAACAGAAGAGTAGATGAAACTGAGAATCAAGTCAGTGATTTGGAATATAAGGAAGCAAAAAACACCCACGCAGAACAGCAGAAAAAAAATTTTTTAAATAAACAAAAGAGCAGATAGAGTAAGAAGTCTATGGGACAACTTCAAGTGTACCAACATTTACATCATGGAGGTGCTGGAAGGAGCAGAGAGAGAGAACAAGAAGCTGAAAATCTATGTGAAAAAAATGACAGAAAACATCCCTAACCTGATGAAACAAATAAATATACAAGTCCAGGAAGTGCCGATTCCCAAATAAGATGAATCCGAAGAGGCCCACACCAAGATACATCATAATTAAAATGCAAAAGTTCAAAGACAAAGAGAGAATCTTAAAAGCAGCAAGGGAACAGCAGCTAATTACCTACAAGGGAGTTCCCATAAGACTGTCAGCTTATTTCTCAACAGAAACTTTGCAGGCCAGAAGGTATTAGCAAGACATTCAAGGTAATGAAAAGCTTGGATTTACAACCAAGATTACTTTACCCAGCAACGCTATCATTTAGAATTGAAGGGCAGATAAAGAGCTTCCCAGACATAAAAACAAACAAACAAACAAACAAACACAAAAAACCCTAAAGGAGTTCACTGTCACCAAACCAGCATTATATGAAATGTTAAGGGTTTTAAGAAACTAAAATATAAAAAGTATGAACAATAAAATGGCAATAAATACATATCAACAATTAAATCTATAAAACAATATAAACAAACAAGCAGAACAGAAACAGACTCATAGATACATATAGATGGTTGCCAGATGGGAAGGTGGTTGTGGGTTGGGTGAAAAAGGTGAAGGGAATAAGAAGTACAGATTGATAGCTACAGAAGAGTCACGGGGATGTAACACACAGCATAGGGAATATAGTCAATAATATTCCAATACCTGTATACGGTGTCAGATGGGTGGGAGATTTATCGGGATGATCATTTAGTACGTTATGTAACGTCTGACTGTCATAGGTGGACACACATAACCAGGTTCTTGGTGATCAGTGACAAAAAATTGAACCAAACACACAGAGTTTATAGAAGAAAGCGAGAGAAAACAGATTTATTGGGCCTCACAGAACATGGGAGCAGGCCAACTCTGAACAGAGTGGAGCAGGACAGAGCTGAGCAGAGAAAGTCTAACAGGGCTGACCTCAGGCCCAGAGGGCTTTTATTCTTACAGGGCGGGTCTCTCCTGGCTGGTTTTGGCAGGGCTTTTATTGTGCATGTACACGTAGTTATATTACTTTAAAGTTACTGTGCATGTGGTCTCCCATGACTTCCTTGATTGGCCACTGGGAAAGGGGGGTGGCAACAATGCTAATTTATTATAATGATATTATAATATAGCAGGGGGTCATGTAGCATCTTCTGTGCAGGGGCATTCCTGATTCACTAGGATTCAGTGCTTTTCAAGAAAGCAGAAACTACCAGTCTTAGAGCAGAGTCTCCGCCCTGTGTTGATGATGTCTTTTATCTTGGCCCTGGGGCACTTTTGGAGTTTCCTCTTTCCTATCTCCTGCCTCATAATCACTGGAGTGTACACCTGAAATAATATAATAAAGTATGTGAACTGTAATTGAAAAATGATTTATAAGCAAAACAAAAGAAAAACAGAAGAAATATTTCCCTGTCAGTAGCTCGCTCTTTCAAGCTCCTATTTGCTGGATGCAATGCTGCCCCATTCAAGAACCACTTAAAACCAATCAGATCTTCATTTGTACTCCTTGATCTTTTGGTTTATCTTTGCGTCAATATTATACTGTCCAATCATGTGGCTTTCTAATAAGTCTTGATAAGCGTAGCACACATTGTCCAACTTTGTTCTCCCCTCCTCCCAAGTTCACGGAACCCACAGCAAGACCGTCCCAGTTTTCTTCCGGAAGATGGAGCTTGACGCTTAGATAAGAGCACGCCCTTCAGACCCTAGTGCCTTGCGCAACCCACCTGCACCCTGTGAGCCGCACGGCACGTCCAACGCGCTTGCGCAGCCTGAAGGCTGTAATTGGACAGAGCTTGGCGAAGGGCGTTTACATCAATTCCGGGGCGGAGATTGCAGCTGTTTGACTGGGGCTTTCTGCGACAAGCAGGTAGGGGCTGCGTAGGAAGGGCGGGGTGTCCAGGGGCGTGGGGTCCGCGCGGAGCACAAGGAGCGTGGGCGTTTCCCGACTCATTGCATTCCTGGCCAGGTGAGGGGGGGTCTGTGGGTGCAGAGGCCGAGCGGAAGCTGCAGGCTCCGAGGGGCGCGGGCCGGGCTTCCGATCCGCCTTCTTGCTGCCCGCGGCCCCGCAGCCCTGGAGCGGGGCTCGGCGCAGGCTCTCGCGCTGGAGCCTGGCGCTGGCGGTTTCTCTTTGCGGAGCCCTCAGCTTCGTTGAGCACTTAGTCTCGGTCTGCGCCGTTGGAAATGGGTGTATTGAGGGGTGGACCACCCACGTCTCGAAGAGTGTGTGTTCCCGGCTCGCTCCTGTTCTTTCTGCACCGACGGGACGTGAGCCTGGGAGTCCCCCAAAGTGTGCAAGAACCAGGCACTGGAGGCAGGCTGCACTGCAGCCTGGTGTTAGAGAATTAGGATAGGCAAGGGAGAGATCCCGTTTTCTTGAGGCAGGTGAGATGCCTCACTAAGATCATTCCTGCTCTGCGCTTTCTGGGTTGTGCGATTTGGGCAAATGTCTTAAACTCTCATCGCCTGTGTTTTCAGCTGCAAGTTTGGAAATAAGACATCCACTCATAAGGCTGCCAGCCATAAATGAGATTGTACATGGAAGGTACTCAGCTGGTGCCTGGCAACGTGGAGAGGCTTCCAGATTAACAGTTGACCGAAATTTATGTAGTCCTAACAGAGGTTGCTTACTAGAAAGGAGGCAGTGTAAAAATGGATATACGTAAATTGTGTTTTGCTGAATTGATGTGGGTTGTGTTTTTTGGGTTTTTTTTTTTAGGAATCAGAGGGACAACTAATTAAATTATTTTCCTTTGCAATATTTGGAATTTCTTTGGGATCATATATTTTAATCCAGTACCTTGGCCAATGGGGTAGGTTGGGGGTTCTTTTATTGCAAAAAACACAGACTCTCAAAAAGCCATTTTTGCTCTTGGGGCTTTGTTGTAATCTTATTTTGGGTTTAGATTGATTAGGGACCTGGTAGAAACACTATATACATATGCTGTGTCTTTTAGCCACGAGGGAAGTACTGTTTTAGGTCCACTTTAACAGGTGAAGAATCAAGGCTTGGAGAAGTTAAACGATGTGTCCAAAGTTGGAAAATCTAAAAGAGGACAAAAACAAAGTTAAAGGAGGTGTATTGGCATATGTAGAAGGCACCAGGAAGAGGGCGGGAGATGGCTCTGGGATGCCAGAGAGCACCAGAGTGAAGGGACATTGTCTCTTTACGACCTGGAGTTTCCTACTCGCAGAAAAGGGCAGTTGTCTTAAAGGCAAAAGTCTGCATGTCCTGGGCTAAGGCCAGCACAGGCTCTGTAGCCAGGTGTGGAACCTGCTGCCCTGAAGTAATGGATTCCTGATGAGCGTTGCTTTAAAAGAACCAGACACTACACAAGATTGTGCAAGCTGTATAAATGCATGATCACTTCACATCTAAAAAGATTCTTAGCTTTGTAAACAGACCCGTTTCAGGGTTCTTACAGTTAATGCATTCCTATAGTATACTTAAAATATTTGCTTTATTCAGATTTGTAGCTCTTTGCATGAAAGAGCTCTGTGCACTAGTCAAGAGCATGGAATGTGCCTTTCCTACCATACACTCCTTTTTGTCTCCATTATTTAAAAATAATAATAGTATTTATTCAGTGTAATGTGCAAGACACTATACTAGCATTTAGTTGGATTATTCAGTTCTCACAATAACCCTGTACAACAGAAACGATTACCTTCATTTATGGAGGGAAAGATGGACTCAGAGACAGTAAGAAATTTATCCAAAAGCACAGAGTAGTAAGAGCAGAGCCGATTCCATGTCACTGCCAAAGCTAGTGCTTACCTATGTGTTTCTTTCATTCCTTCACTTAACAGATACTTATTATTTTGTTTTATTGGCTTTCCTTTTAATGTCATCACCACTCATTTCTTTATTTTATGATTATCAAGGACCTGCTGTGGGCCAGACCCTGTGCAATGTGGGGGATACAAAGATGGCTGATGAGTAGAGAGTTGTTGAACACCTACTTTGTACTAGCAGTGTCCTAGGTGTGGGGTCTAACAGTGACGGCCAAGGCAGACACAGACCCTGACCTCAAGTCGCTTATAATTATAGCAAAGGAATAAATAGTAAACAATCAAAAACTAGATACTCACTACTACTGCGGTCATGCTATGGAGGATGGCAGAGGGTGCCATGAGGATATGTAATAGGGTTGTTTGGCAGGGGGAGGGAGTGGGGAGAGGCAGCGAAGACTTTCCCGAGGAGGGAAATATTGGGTTGGGCAAAAAGTCCCTTTAGTTTTTTTTGTAAAATGAAAGACATTTTTATTTTCACCAATAACTTTACTGATTTGGATAGTTTGAATATGTCAGCTGTCTCCTGCTTTTGGCTTCTAGTGGGTAGAGGCCAGGGGTGCTGTTAAACAGCTTCCAATGTAGAAGACAGCCTCCCAGCAAAGAATTACTTGACCAGAATGTCAATAGTACCAAGAAACTTCGCCAGCCACTTTTGACACGTTCAACCTCTCACAGCACCTTCTCCATACACTGCACACATTTTTTTTCCTTTTTGCATTTCAGTTGCGTTTTTACCTTTCTTGAAATAATAAAGCATAATATGCTGAAAATGTTTCTCCCATCTTCAATCTTAAAATGGCTGCACAAAAATTCACTAATTTTGATAATTTTTTTAAACATTATATTTCATCATATTTGTCTGTGGTTTGCAAATGATTTAACAAACATTTTTTAGCCCCACTATGTCCAAGCCCTAGGATGCAAACATGTATAAAGACGCTCTTTCCTTCCACCGTGCATAATGTAGACAATGTTTTATTTGCCATCCACAGAAGATGCTGCAATTATTTTGTCAACGTTATTCTTCAACACACTTATTTAGTATCTACTATGTGCGAGCACTGTTCCAGGACTGTAGCTCCCGCAAATAGTCATGGTCTCTGTGCTCAGGGAACTTAAGCTCCCAGTTGGGGCTGGAGGACAGAGGGAGGGAGAAAGTCAAGGAGATGAAGTTGGAGAGGTAAGCAAGAGTCAGACCACGCAGGTCTCACGCATGGCAAGGATTTGGGGCTTATCCTAAGAACAGTGGGAAGCCACTGAAGGATTCAGTCACAGGAGTAGCACCAGCAGCTCTTGTGTTCGATAAAGATCCCTCTGGCTCCTCAGCACAGGCAGGAGTTGATCAGGGTGAGGGCTATTCAGGATGTGAGCAGCGGGGCTTGGTGACCGTGCTGCTGTGGGGTGAGAAGGGAGAGGAAAGTGTCCGAGCTAATTCTTCCTTTTCTTGCTTGTGCATCTGAGGTAGGAAATCCTGGAGGAAGAGCGTGAGTTCAGTTTTAACTAAAATGCCTGTGAGATAACCCAAGCAGGGCTGCCACGAAGGCAACGGTACCGCAGGCTCTGAGATTCAGACCACAGAAAGGGGCTAAATCCCTAAAAAGCTCTTGTCAGGGAGGAATGCTTTTCCTGGTATGGAGGACAAAAAAAGGCGACCCAGTGGGCAGTGTGGAATTCTCTTCACGTTACTGTGGCGGGGGGGGGGGGCGGGGGTGTTAAGAATAAAATCTCCCGCCAACCTAGAAAATGGTCTCTACAAATGTAGAAAGAATGTTTGAATAAACATTCACCCAGAATGGGATGGATCACAGCCTCATCTGCTAATGAGATTTAAAAAACAAAGAAATCTGGGTCGTTTACAATACATTACATAACAGTAGGGTCTCGAGATTAATGGTAATTTCTCCTCCTGTAAGAAGTCCTCGCAGCACCAGCTGCTGCCTCTACTTTCACGGCTCGCCCTGAACCCACCTGGTAAGAGGAGTGGCCCTCTGTGCTAGTTAGTTGTCCTTGTCTGAAGGAAAAATAGAAAATCTCTAATCTCTGTGAACAGTAGCCATGGAACCCCCCCCCCCCACCCCTCCCGGGAGAAGGGGAATGGGATGCTTTCTTCCTTGACGCTTATTTCCATTTCAAAGAGACGCTTTCTAGGCCTTTTGGAAAAAGGATCTAGGTTTCATCAGTGGCTCAGTTTCTTAGCCTTTTAAAAGATGTTCATACACACCAAAGGGACAAAGGAAGGAATTAAAAATACTGGGTTTTGAAATGTTCTAAGAGAAAGGAGGGAGAAAAAAAGATCTCTTTTCCTTTGGCAACAGGGAAAATTCCATTTTAAAAACTGACTTACACTGTAGTGAAATGCAGAGCTGGAAAATGCGCAGTATGGGGATTTCTCTGAGGTGATTTCTGAGTGAGTTCCCCGTCCTTGTCCATGGGTTAGGATGCCCTCAAGTGGTTGGATCCAGCCCATAATTTCTTGTGCATTGATTTAAAGAAAAACGTTATCAGTGCTTCCGGATCCGGCTGGACTCCAGCCGCAGTGCTGGTCGTCGCTGGTGGTCAGCCTTTGAGTTTTGTTCTCTTTCATGTCAGTGATGCCATTTCTCACCTCCACTCAGTTGTACACGTGTGCGACCTTCCTGTGGCTGGTAATGGTATGATTTTAATGGGGAAATGCCCTCTCCATTAACCTATTCTGGAAGGCCCTGCGCATGGGGATGAAAATGGAGATTAAATGGCATGTAAATTGGCCTTGGAAGCTGCTTGCCACCACCAGCATAAGAAGTTCAGCGAATACCTTTGTATTCTACCGGGGCCCGCCTTCCCATCTTCCTAAATTCACCACAGCCTGAGACGTGGCCGCTGGAATGCTCCTTGAAGGGAGAGGCTTGCTGCGGCAGCTGAATTGCTGAACATTCGTACCGAGGGTTTGCGCTTGCTTGCTGTAGTTAGCTCTTACTTTGTTCCGGAAACACATGCTTGTACTAGTAACTAAATTTTGAAGTGGAAATGTAAATTTTTTTAGGTTTATGTGAGTAGGACATAGCAGTTGGAAATTGGAAATTGTATTAGTAAACT